GTAATACTAACCATTTTATGCTGAGTAAAAACAGAGCAAGAAAAGGGTAAAAATCAAAGCCCTTTGGCTTGGAAAGCCCCTGTAGCTGTCTTTACCAATTCCTCTTGACTTGTGAGCCATTTAGGCTCCTTAAAGGTCTAATACGCTACTCTGCGGCTGGTGAGGTGACAACAGTCGATCACTTGGGTTTGGGAGTTCTGGGACAGTGAGGCTAAAGCTGATGAGGTGCCTGCATTAAGTCTGGCACCAATATGGTGATACTCCACCAGGCTACCTGAGGAAGTAAATTAGCCCAGGTTAGAAAAGAGGAACAGGTTAAAAGTTTCTGGGCCAGTCAGCAGTGAGATCAGGCCTGTGAGTGTACTCACTAAAAGAAAATGGGAGACCCAGACTTTTTTTCCTTTTTTAAATTTCTATCATGCCAGTATCTGTAGTACAGAAGTAAAGGTCTTGCTGGGGGGCAGCATGACTCACTAAAGCAAAGTTATTTTTCAGCTCTCCTGGTTCTATACCTACCACCCAAATAGCCTGCTATTCCTAAGGATTAGGCATCTTTGATCTACTTTCCTGGATGACAGAAAAAAGTCTGCTTACCTGTAACGTCATTCCTAGGATGATTTGAGGCAACAAAGGAAGATATTCAGACCACTTTCCAATGGAAGTTTTCAGACCACATCAGGCTTCACCAAAGTTTAGTGTGAGTAAGTTTTCACAAAGCAGAAATTTATGGGACACATGTTCTGTTTCTAATTCTAATTATTTTCATTTAAAGCAATCAGGTTACTTTCCCTCTGGGCCTCAATCTTTTTTTTCATCTATAAAATGGCAGCACTAGAAAACAGGAAACATGATCTTACATGCCTGTCAATAGTCAACCAGGCCACTAGGTGGAGCAGTGGATAGAGCACCAGGCCTGGAGTCATAAAAACTCATCTTCCTGAGTTCAAATCTGGCTTCCATCAGACATTTACTAGCTGTGTGACCCTGGGCAAGTCACTTAATCCTGTTTACCACAGTTTCCCCTCATCTGTCAAATGAGTTGGAGAAGGAAACGGTAAATCACTCCAGTATCTTTGCCAAGAAAACCCTCAAGAAGGGGTCACAAAGCGTTGGACATGACTGAAAACAACTGAACAAACAACAATAGTCTATCAAGAGTTTAGTCAAACACAAGGCCATCTAGATACTCAAGAGTCTCTTGCCATTGAAGCAAGTACTAAATCTGCTACCTTCAATATTCCTGCTTAGAAATATCTGGCAGATTTCACAAGCCATTTCAGGCAGCAGAAAATAAAAGGGCACAGGCAAAAAAGAAAATACAAATATAGGGACCAGAAACCAAAGGGAATAAAAATATTCACTCAGAAAGCACTTTCAGTTCTTAGAACAAAAGATGCAACAGCAAAGAGTAATACCTTGTGAAAAAAGGACTAAATTACTCAAAGTAAAAATAGGAAATAAATTGAACATTTACATTTTTTATGCAAGTTACTGTTGTGCTACAAAAATAAATCTTTTTCAAAGTAAAATGTCTTTAGAAGCAAAAGCACAAAGATCCAAACTAATTAAAAACAGGTCAGCTAAGGACTAGGAACGCCAGGTGTGCACTGAGATGGAGTGTAGCTATAAAGGCTTGAAGCATGTATGTAATGCATTAAATTGGGAATGCAAGTCTCTCCAGCTCCACTTCTATTAAAAAGGGAACAAACTGAAATTTACATGTTACTGCATTCCACCAGTATAATATGCAGTGTGTCAACTCTTTCACTTCAAATTGCACCATGTTAAGCAAGTGACAGGGAAAAAGAGGGGTGGGGGTGGGGAAAAAGTTAAAAAAAAAAAGCTCTGCCTCAGCAAAAGTTTTCATTAAAATTTTAGACAAATGATCTCTGTGTCCTTCTCCCATGCTGCCTGGGGCTCCATGCTATTTCTATGCAAATAACAACCTCGTGGTTTATATCTTATTATTTCCACCGGAGCTGCAGCGACATGACCTGAGACGTGTACGGTGGGGGGCGGGGAGGGGGAGATTGGGAGAGGAGAGGGGAGAGAGAGAGAGAGAGAGAGAGAGAGAGAGAGAGAGAGAGAGAGAGAGAGAGAGAGAGAGAGAGAGAGAGAGAGAGAGAGATGGAGTGGGTGCTCACTCAAGTGTGAAAAAATATTGTCAGGAGTGAGCGTCAGGAACAAAAAAAATTGCAGGGATAACGTGTTTATTTCAGTCCCCCCCTACCCCCCACCCCCCTGCAAACCAGCACCTTTTAAAATTCATTGGGCATCAGGCGATCATGCACAATCCATCTGCTTTCACTTTATCATTTGCATTTCATGCCTCCTGGCTTCTGATGTGCTGATACTTTGATGCAGTCAGGAGACGCAAATTATCATTATTTCCATTTTCAAGGGGGTCAACAGGATCGTCATGTGCATGGGTGCACAAGATTTTTTTAAAAAACCACCTCTGTGTACCCCCTCTTCCAAGCCCTCACCCCAATATTTAATGTAAAAGAGGACAACTTAAAAGGGGGGGGGAGTGTCAAGCACATATGGTCAAAAAGCCTGCACATACCCCTCATATCTCTGTTCTACATACACATGTACACCCCTGTCACAAGCAGAAGTAATGAGACTTAAAATAAAGGAGGCTCCATCGTGAGTCAGAGACACGGAGAAACACAGACACACAAAGAAAGATACACAGACACTGAGGGACCTGAGACACCTTGACATCAAAAGCTGAGGTGCGGAGACAGAAAGAAACAGAGAGGAGAGGAGTACAAACACAGAGACAGGTATGCACATAAACACACAGCAGAAGCCACAAGCATCCCTGAATACACTAAACACACACACACACACACACACACACACACACACACAGAGAAAAACAGAAAAGGACAGAGACACATATAGACAGCATACCACAAAAAGAGTAGAAGATATTGGGGAAGAGGGAACAAATGTGAAAATGTAGTTGTGAAACAGTTTTCTCTTCACACTAGGTGGGAAAAAGGATTGTATGTAAGGATAGTCTTCACGAATCTGGCTGAGACACACTGGATGTAGAGGGTGAAACCTTCAGAACAGGAGGAGAAAAGCTCCAGAACTGACCCTTCCAGTCTTCAGCAAGCAATGCTCATGTTCTTCAGAAGGAGATGTGAGCAATCTTTGGGGAAGGGCCAGCTGCAGCCCGAGTGTCTTTTTCCCCTGCAACTAGACTTTTCCTTTAACACTATGGGCTAGAGAGGAGGTGAATATAATGAACCTGATTGGTAACAGTTCAGCCAATAGATTTTAAGAAATAGTACAAAATGCTTTATAGCAGGAATGAAATGCAACTATCAAGTTTCCAGACAAATAAATACCTTTGATTTCTATAAGATTCTTCACACACAGCACATTATCTAGGGGAAAAATAAAATCCAATGAAAAAAGGATATATTTTGGAAATTAGCTTTCTGCCCATGTATGCAAAGGGCAGCAAACATACAAGGATTCACTTTGAACACTATCTCTGTGGAAAAGGGTATCCACAATTCTCTATGACATTCATCATTTTCTCATCATAAGGAAGTAACCAAAATAGCAACTTAAAAAAATTTAAGGCTCTCAGTTGTTTTTCCCCCTCCAGCAATCTCATTCAGTAGTGGCAGTGTACAATTTCTGTTCCCTGTTATGCAAGTTGCATCTGTCTTTTCTTAGCACGGCCCTGTGTAAAGTGGCTAGTATACAGCACATGGCTGCTTCCCCTAAATCTCACCTTCCAGATTCTATTGTGAAAAACAATGGGACCAAATGTGTACTTTTTCCCCAAAGGGATCAATGGATCAGGTCCTTCTCTATTTCTTTCACTTGAAACTCAAATCATGGTAGAGAATCTCCAAATATAAACTACTTCATATTCTTCTCTAGAAGGCTCAATCCCCTGCAGGGTACCTGGCATGAGACCAAAAATTTCTGAACTTGTGCTGGGAGAAAGCCTGCAGAAGTTTATCACGCTCAAAGTGGGAGCACATGTTGTATCTGCGGTCTACTTACAAAATTAGATGGAGAAGGCTAGAACCACTATTGCTTTGCATACATTCAGTTATCATTTCATACCACTTCCTTACAAGAACCTTGAGTTCATTAGCTACACCTTTCGATGTGAAAAACTGCATATGTACCTGGAGGCTAAAAGGTACCACCAGGCTAAAAAGCTGAAAGAGAATCAATCTCCACAGCAGCCTCTTCACCCAGCATGACAGCCTTCCTATAAGTCTGTACTTTTGTAAACACATGCTACGCACAGGACATTTTTTTTAAAGGACTGAATCTTCATCTTCCTACCTAAAACACACAAAGGTCAGCCCATGCCATGTTGGCTAGTAGAACAGCCTTCAGCCCCAAATGTGCAAAGACAGACACTGATGTTGCTACTCTTTTGAAAGAACAAAAGATCTAAAGGTAAAGAGCAAAGCAAACTTATCTGGCTAAATAAAAACTGAATCTAAATAAAAAACTAAATCAGTGGAGCCAAGAAGGCAATGAAAAGAATGAAGCTCAAGGAATAGACACAGCAGGGAAAGAAAAGAATGAAGGAAAACAATAATTTTTTTGGGGGGGAAGAGGGACAAGAGTAGGATATGCAGAAATCAGTCATTTGGTTCAGCAGCATAAAACTTTAAAAACTTTTAAAATATCCCTGTATTTTTAGGACAATAAACACAGTCTCCTCTGTCCTAGGACCTCAAAACACCCATGAGTACATATCAATTACCATTAATAAAACCACATATCGATCAGAGAATTGGGGGACAGAAGTCCCTCTTCCACTCCAATGATGCAATCAACTTCTGGCTTCTCCAGAAAGACAGAAGAACCCATAAGAAAGAAAAGGGAAAGGATTTGAATTACGAGGACACGGGGACACACACACACACACACACACACACACACACACAGAATATATCCAATATCAAAAAGTTTCATTAAAAACTCCCTCACAACCCTAATGAACTTACTTTGTTGAGGGCTGCAGCTCCGGTCAGAATCAAATATGAGTTCTCAACCTGGATGGTCCTCTGCCCCAATCGGACTAGATAAGCTCCAATTCCAATGGCCCGGCAAGTTACCTTAGGAGGAAAAAAAACCACAACACATACATTAAACATCTGGTATCCACAAGTGAGATTTGTGGGCATGCTGACATATAGATAGCAAACAGACATTACCAGTGATGGGGCATTTCTTTGTATCTGTTCTACTTATAATATTAAACAAGGGCTGATTTCTCAGTCCAAGTAAAAAGGGAATATAATGTCAAGAACACTAAAACCATAAACAAGCGATGACTTTCAACAAACTCAAAACAACAAAAAAGGGCTTTTTTTGGTCATCCTGAGGGCCAAAGAAAGATCAGAAATGGAGAGACAGGATAATAAGAATGGACACTGCAAAGTAAGACAATGCTCCTCAAGTCTTATTTTACTCTTCTCTTCTCAAATATTAAGGAGCTCTAACCTAAGGAAAATGATCATCAGACTAAAAGATACAGAATAAAAATGATTAACAAGGCACTGAAACCAAGGTAAGTGAAGACACGGCAAGAGAACACCCAGTTGCTTTTGATAAGTTCAGGTCACTGGCTTAGACAACTACCATCTCAGAGACCTGAAAGAACTTGAAGACATTACTGCAAAGTCACTGTCAGTTGTCTTTAAAACAGGACAAGAAGGGGGCATTTGCCAATATCACAGGATATCTTTGAAGAAAAAATCAGAAATATATCCTAAACGAGAGAAGTTAGGTGGACTGAAAATTGGCTGAATGACCAGAACCTAAAGAGAAGTGATGGATGATGGAACAATGTCGGCCTAGGATCATAGGGTGCTGTCCTGAGTCCTGCTCTGTTCAACATTTCAAACAAAAACTTCTATGAAGATCCAATTTGTAGATGACACAAAGTTTGTGTGGGTAGTAAACATGTCAAATGACAGAACTGGAATCCCAAAAGACTTTTACTGACTAAAAAAACGGACCAACTCCAATTAAATGAAATTTAATAGAGATAAATGTAAAGTACTATACTTAGGTTCCAAAAAATCACCTACATATTATAGGTGAAACATTGCTTAAAAAACAAAAAACAAACAAAAAAAATCAGTTCACATGATAAAGAACTGTGGGTTTTGTTGTACTGCAGAGCGGGTCATGGTAGCTGAAAAAGTTAATGTGATCTTGTATTAGTAGAAACATAATGTTCAGAATGATAGAAGTTATTACACTTCTATATTCTGCCTTGGTCAGCTAATATCTGTAATACTATGTTCAATTCTGCTGTCACATTTTTCAGAAGGAGATTGGTAAATTGGAGTCGATCCAACAAAATACAGCAAAAGGACATGAAACCATGCCAGGACTGGCAGAAGAAACTGGAGGTGTGTAGCATGGAAAACTGAAGCAAGAGAGGGAGGTATGACATCAATCTAAGTGTATGAAGGACTATCTTGTGGAACAATGATTTGATTTGTTCCCAAATCCAAAACAAGAGCAATGGCTGGAAGTTGCAGAAAGATTGATTTTGACTTGATAAAAATAAAAACTTGCTAACAATTAGAGCTATTCAAAAATGAAACGAACTACTCTATTCTAGAGGAGGTCTTTAAATGGAAGTCAGATCACTGCTTGGGTAGAGCACTGAGAGGAGAATTCTCTGCTTACTAAGAATGAGATTGGATGGCCTCTAGGATCCCTTCCAACTCTGAGTTTCTATAATTCTAGAAAATGAAACAGGTAATTTCAGATTATTCAAAACAAATTTAATCAAACATGTGGATTGCTAAGACTCCTTGCTTTTTCCTCATGTTTTCCACTTTTTGCCCATCACCTTCACTAAATTAGAGGAATGAGAAGAGGTGAAACTCCAACTACTCCATTCTGCTACTTGTCTAGCTCTAGTAAAATGGCCCAGTCAAGAATGTGAAGGTTGAAATTAATGGAGGTACTTGGTTTACTTGGGGATTTCAACTTTTCCAATTACCCTTGCTTTGTATTACCATGACTAACTGAAAGTAAGCTGTAGACATACAAATAACTAATAGCTATGAGAATTCTGTGCACAATAGCTAAAATATACAGGCCTAAAACTTGAATTCACACTAAAATGGATTTTAAAATGATTTAATTCAGACACAAAGTGAACTTTCTGGGATAGATATCCCCTAAGAAGCTTAAAATAGCCTCTCCAAATCACTGTCCAACCCAGGTTATAACAGCAGTGAGAGAAATTTAATGACACTTAAAAAAAAATACACATCCTGACTACTAAGATATTTACCAGGCTGATGGTGATGATCTCATCATATGCCAATGAGGATTCTCCAGCAATCATCCCAGAACCCCTGAGGTTCTCAGCCCCAAGTCCTTCTTCCTTTCCAATAATATCTGTTATCTTATACCTATTAGATACAACCAAGCCAAATTAGGAATAGCAAAGAAATAAAACAATCATTATTAAAAGTTTGCCAAAAAAACTGTCCATTTTTTAATTTAGCATCCAATTTCCTTTTCATTTTTTTGCCTCATGCATACCCCTTTTTCCTTTTGCCTTGTTTCATAGTGTGCTCTTATGTTTCCTTGTTAGAAGGCAAATTTCTTTAGAACAGGGACAATGTAGTCCTTGGTATGATATGCAGTCATCATTAAACAATGGAGATTTTAAGTAGGTCTTCTAATGATGAACACTAATATAGTGAAGTAGTAAGAGGCAGTATAACAAGACTCTATAACATCTCCTTTTCTAAGTCAAAAACTAAAGGGGAGAAGGATCATAGTGTCCACTTTCTGGCCATGGCTTTTTGAAGGAGCAGATGAAGTGAATGTGGAGGTGAGATGTTGCCCAAGTACTACAGAAAGCATCCTATAGCTCCAGTGGGACAGTCATTAGTCTTCTTGACAGGGGATTGGGAGCACTAGCTGACAATGGGAAATAGGAGATGGGGAATTGAGCTAATAATAGGAAGGAAAAATACAAAGTTGAAAAGCAGAGGTGAGCATATATTACTTGTTGTTCTACTTGTGCCCAGAGGGCTTGGCACTGGGTATGCTTTTGCAAATTGAAACAATAAATAAATATACCATAGAGGCTCTTATTGCTTCCCTTTCATATTTCTTTGTTTCCTTTCTTATTTCTATCTTCTCTATTAATTCTTTTTTTTTCGGTATCCTGGACATCAGTCCTGGGGCTTTGTATCTACTTCTCAGACTCTCCTTCATTCTCTGCTTTTATCCTCTTCCAATCCCTCCTCAATTTGTCGTCCGCTGGTATTTAGGGTCTCCCTTCAGGCATGAGATTCACTTCCACTGAAGTTTTTTCACCCAAGGAATGAAACCAGAGGGTACTTTCTGTATACTGAGCAGTCCTAATTCTGGAAAAGATGTGTTCATGTTGTATATCTTGTGAAAACAAGATATACAACACATCCAGAAACACTCATGTGTTCATTGAGCATTATTGAGCATTACTGGTAGGGAAAATGCTTCCAACTCAGGACTCCTCCCACATATCATTTCTTTGGTGATATTATTCTGGTATGTTGCATTTTAGCCTTACTATGACATGTTCAAAGAAGTCAACATTTCGTATTTACTGATTTATGACCTGACACGTTCCTGATCCAGGGCTTTATAACAATTGTTGCAATGACTGTAGTGAGCAACAATCCTTAACATTATTCACTACTATATTCATCAGATAAACAGAAATTTCCAAAGGCTCATCCCCCACTCTCTGTGCACCTACCTGGATTCCCCTTCATCCTCCACATGCTCACAGTGAACAGAGTTCAGGGCACTGACCCTCTTAAAATCTTGAGGAGTCAAATATAAATACTTGTATCCCTGTGAAGTACAAATGGTTTTAACTCGTTATTTCCTGATATCATAGAGCTGGTAGATGCAGCAAAACATATATTATGCAGCCTGTTCCAAAGCCATCTATAAACTGCCACATCGCATCTTGAGAGGTATAATATTATATTAGCATGGCCAGTTGTGCTTTGAAAGATCTAAGTGACTATTTTCTCTAGTCACTCACCATCTACCTATGAAACAAAGACAGCTTTCAGCCTGAACTCCAAACATAGTCCATTCATTTCATTTCCATCAGGGTCAAAGGATGCATTACTCCCTGGCCTTCAACGACAGTTCTTTTTAGAGATGTCACTACAGAGACTCTTAAATTATCACACCTTAATTTCTCAAATCTAAATAGTGTCAGGAGAATGCAACCATGTAGAGAGAAAACAGATAACTGAAGAACCATGCAGAAAATCCTCAGATTCAAAGAAATCAGTGCAATACACTGCTGGTAATTAATTGCAAATTCCTAACCTTTGCTTTAACCACAGGCCCGTTTCTCAACTTGTGGTTTCTAACTGCTAAAATTTCAAATTTCCAAATCATAATATATGACCTGTCTTATTCTATACATAAATTATCTGCTACTATGTTGTGCTTAATTTTAGTCTTCTTACCTTGTAAGGATCATCAGGATCCACCCACGCCACATGGAACATGTGGCGTATTTCCTCTGCCAATCCAATTCTCGCTCCACTGTTAGCTGCCACATAAATGCGAGGGATACCCTCTGCCCTGGCAAGCTCAGAAGCCCTCAGAAATAGCATATCTTCTTGAGGTCCAAAGGACCCAATTCGATAGGTGATGTCATTTCCAATAACAATGATATCTCGTCCTTCTGGGTACTCAGGACTCTTCAGAGTCATTTTCCAGGCTACCATGCCAATCTGCAAATGCATTAAAAAAATACACAAAAAAAGAATAAACAGATAAAGGCCTTTTGTGTCTCAACTCTGACATGCTGACAATTCAATGGGAGAAGGGCATGCAGAAGTAGAAAGCAAAGACAAGAAATGAAAAAGAAAATGATGATTTGAATGGCTCTGGAATTGGGAGGGACTGAGGGAAGGAAGGAAGGAAGAAAGGAGCGAGCCCAAGACTGAATTTGAAGAAATGCAATCTGGGAGGAATAAACAAAAAGCTGAAGGAGGAGATGGACTTAAGCCAAAGGATAACGATTCAAGGAGGAGGAAACAAAAGACTCAAACAGAAGAACCCAAGGAGCTGAGAAGAAAGTGAAGGAACTGAGGAAAAGAAAGAGCACAAGGACTCCAGCTGCAGGAGATGGAAACAGTCTAGAAGCACAAGAAAGAAGACAGAAGAAGTGACAAACTATAGCAGGGATGTCAAAGTCAAATAGAAAAGAGACCACCCCCTGCAGGTGCATGCTGACTTAGAAAACCACATATTAACATTAACTAGGTTCTATTGGATTTTTATTTATTTTGTTCAATATTTCCCAATTACATTTTAATCAGCCACCAAATGTTTGACATGTCTAGATCAGAGGAGAAGAAAGTAGCTGGTAAAAACATGACAATGGGTTAGTAAGAGAAGGGACACAAAGCTGAATATGGTTGTCAAAGTGCTCACAAGCAGTTTGATCCAAAGTCCTCAATGGGTTGTCACTAGTAAGAATAACAAAGGATCTCACTTCCAGGAAGTAAGGAAAGTAGGTAACACGTTGCCATGATCTGGAAAACACATGATGTCTGTCTTTTCAGATAAACAAATAACCATTAACTATGATCAAAATACTGTCTAGTCTCCTTCCTAGACTTCATTTTCTTCCTTCCCAAAAGCAAAGGAGCTCAAAAAATAACAACTCAACACCTTCCATCTTATCACAAAGAATTCTGGGGGGTTTTTTGTTACAAAGAAAAAAAAAGGAAGGACTCTTAAAAACAAAGAAAAAAAGATCAGAACTTCATATATAAAATGGGTATTGCATTTCTTGCCTTCTCCATGGTTGAGGGAGGGGACAGAAGGAGGGAGAGAATTTGGAACTGGAAAGTTTTTTTAAAAGAAAGTTATGAGTGTTTAAAAAAAAGATCTGAAGAGGCAGAGAAAAATCCTGACTTATCAGTGAAAAGAATTTACGGGACTTATTGTTTAAACAAAGGAGAAGTGATTGGTCCATTATATCTGTATCCCCACCATTTAGTAACAAATGTTCTCTGAATTCTTGGTTATGTAGTATATTGGCCTGCATTCTAGGGATTAAAAGAAAGAGTCCTTCTACAGCCAACCCCCATTTCATTGAAGCCAGAAGCAGAAGCAAAACCTAACTCTTGAGTATTATGTTGACATCTAGGTGCTAGATGGCACAGAATGTTGGAAGTGAAGTCAGGAAGACCCGAATTCAAATCTGGTCTCAGATACTTACTGGCTTTGTGACCCTGGGCAAGTCACTTCAGCACTGACCGCCTCAGTTTCCCCAACTGTCAAATGGGGATGATAATAATAGCACTTACCTCCAAGGTTGTCAAGAAAAGTAAATGAGATAATCTTTTAAAAGCACTGACCACAGTCTACCTGGCACACAGCAGGCCCCATATAGTATAAATGCTTGTTCTTCTCAGTTCCCCTCTCCAAACTCTCACCTGATGACCTCAGCCTAAGACTCCTCTAAGTGCCAATTCTACTGGTTCATGAACTGCCCATTAGACAACTGGAATTTGATAAGCAAAAGATATCTCAAACTCATCGTGTCCAAAATTCATTATTTTTCCCCATTATCATTTCTTGAATTATGAGATCCAGGCTTTTTTGTTTAGTCATGATGTTCAGATAATCTGGCAAGTCTTAAGATTATTTCTCCTTGATCTATTTTTCAGGTCAGTTATTTTCAATTGCGTATGCTTATTTTTTTCTCAATCCTTTTATTTTATTACTTTTCTCAGAGAATCACTGTTTTCTGTTTGGCCCATTCCAATTTTCCGTGACTGACTCGAATTCATGTGAAAAGTTTGTCACTGTGATTCTTAATTACTGATTTTTCTTCCCATTTTTCCCTCATCATTTCACCTACCATTGCACTGTGTAGCTTTTGACACATTTCCTTAAATGTTCCTCTTTAGTCCATAGAGTCAAATAATTCTTTTCCCTGAGGATCTACTTGGACTTATTGTGGATTTATTCTTTTCCTGGGATTACCTTTAGAGCTTCTCTTCAATCCACAGTATTTCTTCACTGATTCAGCATTTTTTCACTTTTATCCATACTTCTAGCCTCAGTTTCTAGATAGAGACTTTGTGCCTGGGTCAGATTCTGCTCCCTCTTATACTCTTAGATGATGTGGGCAGGCCCTGATCGGGCTGGATGTTGTAGTTAATACCAGACCTTCCCCTTCTGTAGGAATCTCTGAGTTTCTTGGTCATTTTGGTTCCTTTTCCTTGCACGGATCTGAACACAGAGCTGTCTTAGTCCCTTGCTATAACCTTGAAAGGCCCTAACCATATGTTATTGGTTGCTCTGGTAGCAGGCCTTCTGCAAGATGCCAGGTGCTCTGCTATTCTGGCCCTTTCTCCTGCTGGGGCTTAGGCATGGGTTGCCTTGGCACTGGTAAGGCCCCATCTCCTCTTGCGATTCAAGTTCAGGCTGCCTAGTTCTGGTCTGGCCCCATTTCCTATCTAGTCTGACTTGTCTCCACTGAGCCTCCTTAAGTTTCTAGCACTCATCTGAAGTAGATGGAGTAGCCATTACAGTCATTCCTCTTTGGTTTTCTATAGCATTGTTTCTTCTGGCAAACTTTTAGTGCTTTCATGGCATATTTGTGAGGGATCTGGATTCCTACAGGACTGAACATATCTCCACCTTTCCCTCTTTTCTATTCAATCTTAATATAAACTGGGCCCTTACTAATGTTCAACAGTCATTTTGTTGTTGTTCAGTCATTTTAGTCATGTCCAATTCTTCATGACCCTATTTGGGGTTTTCTTGGAAAGAAACTGGAACAGTTCCTTCTCCAGCTCAACAGATAAGGAAACTGAGGCAAAGAGAGTTAAGTGACTTGACCAGGGTCACAGAGCTAGTGTCTGAAGCCGCATCTGAACTCATGGCAGAGGAGTATTCTTGGCACTCTCTCCACTGCGCCACCTAGATGCCCAGCAGTCCTTTTACTCTTTTCCAATTAACTCTAGCCTACTTTTCACAGCAGGTGTTCCAAACTCCTTCACTCTTCAAATTTTAAATATCTTTCCATTACTGCTCAATCTAACAGAGGATTTCATCTCTTGATGAACTAAGAAACAGAAAACATCTATTATAATCTCTCTCTTCTCCCCTATTCTACATCTCAAAACTGCTCTTCATTGTTTCCCCTTTACTCGTCTCCTCACCAAGTCCAGTTTCTTTAAGTGACCTTGATTCTCTCTCATGCCACATCTGCTGGCAACCTGCTACTTCAATCACTATCCTTACCCCCAATCTTCAATCTTTCCTTCTCTACTGGATTTTTCTCTGATACCAAAAATTGTGACCAGGTCTCCACTACTCTTCTAAAAATCATTTAACTCTGTCATCCCCAATTAGAACTGCCATCCCATACTTCTCTTCTCTTTCACAAACAAACTCAGGAAAAGAGTCAGTACTCAGTAGCTACCACTCACTTATCATTCCTTTGTAATCTTGCTCTCGACCTCACCCTTCAATTAAAACTGCTCTATGCAAAGGTACCTAGAATTTCTTAATGTCTAACGCTGATGGCTATTCTCAGTACTCATCCTAATCAATTTCTCTGCAGTATATCACACTGTTGTCCAAATCCTTCCTCTGTTTCTGTGATACTAACTTCTCTTGGTTCTCCTTCAACCTGTTTCTTCTCAGTATCCTTTGCCAGATTATCATCAATGTCTTGTACCTAAAAGATGGGTATTTGCCCAAGGTTCTCCTAGTCTATTTTCTTTTTGATGATGATGATAACAAGCATCTATAGAGAACTACGAGGTTATTAAGCATGTTCCACATTATTTAATTCGATCCTCACAACAACCCTATAAAGCCGTGCTATTGTTTCCATTTTACAGATGAGGAAACTGAGGATCAGAGAGGTTAAGTACCTTCCTCAAAATCATCTAGCCTGAAAGTGTCAGAAGCATGATTCACTGTACCCTCTCTCTCTGGAGCTAACCAGAATCATTAGTTTGTATGGATTCAATTGTCATCTCTATGCAGATAGCTCCCACACCTATATGTCCCGCCATAATCCTTCTCCCAGGCTCTAGACTTACAACAGTCTGTTGGACATCTCCTACTGATGTCCCACAGGCATCTCAAACTCAACATAATCCCCCAGTTTCCCTAAGAAAAGCTAATATCAGCTTGGGTTAATGGTCCTTCTGCATTTAGCCTTGATCAATCTATGCCCAGAATATTGTGGTCAGTGCTGGGCACCACTCATAAAGTAGAAGGTATACAAAGAGGAGCAACCAGAATGGTCAAGGAGCTCAAAGTCATGCCACTTAAAACACGGGCTGAAGGAGCTGGGAATATTTAGCCTTGAGAAAAAAGACTTTGGGGGATATTTTACCCATATTCAAGTATCTAAAGGGTTGTCCCATGGAAAAGGCAATAGAATTGCCATGATCTGCTCTGAGGAACAACGTTCACAAGTATCAAAGGGGCAAATTTAGGCTTAATGTAAGAAAAAACTTCCTCTAACAATCAGAGTTATCTAAAGGTGGAATGTGTTCAACTGGAGAATGGCTGAATGACTTTTGATAGATAATGTAATACAATATCACTACACTATAAGGAGTGATGAGTATAATTACATAGAAACAATGGAACTTACATGAATTGATGCAAAGTAAAGTGAGGAGAGCCAAGACAACAATTTATACAACACAAATGGAAACAACAACAAAATAACTCACATTGAATGCTG